AAAATGGAATGCTTATTGAATTTACCTTATAGATTGATATGAAAATGAAATGAGTAAACGTTCATGAAGCCAAGTGCTTCAAACAGGACCTGGCTCACTAAGCACGTATTAGAAGTCATCTATCGCTATAAAAGTTCTGAGATTATGTTCTTAGGCTCCCCAGTACTTCTCCTTAGTGTTTTCTGTTACTTAAAATGGACTGAAAGTCACAGCAAGTATGGGAGAAACTTCTTGCCTCGTTGTGACCAGCAAGGGTGCTGTGACTAACTGCCAGCCCCTCATACTGCTTCCTCACAGCCATCTCAGAGAAAGCTGGTTTCAGGGTTCTGACTCACCCTCGGCTTCAGCTTGTGTACAGCAGCTAGCTGGGAAAAAGGTGTTTAATACCTCATTAGCACCTCAACTGCTCCTTTTGGGCACTAATCACTTCAGCTCCCCCTAGACTGACTCTGAAAAGCCCTTAACAAGCAGTTCCTATGATGGCTCAGAGACTGGACCCCAACTGGTCCCAATTCTTTCCCTCGGGTCACTTGCTTTACACAAGTGAAACAACTTACTGGCTAGATTTTTGTGATATATAAGCACATTAAAAAAAAAAAAAAAGAGGCCAGACCTTACTCTTTTGCAGCCCCTGAAATCAAACTATCCCCTTCTTCACTTTCCACATCTGCAGAGGTGCCCTCACCCTTGCCACTCATGGTTTGGGACAGAATTAGGCAAGCAGGCAAGCATCCAAATTTGAAGCAGATGTCTGGTACAATGAGTGAGGCTGGGGTGGAGACGAGGAAGGATGTGGACCCTGCTACAACTGCCTGTTGCTCTGACCTACTGCCAAGGCTGCAAAATACAGAGTGTTCCTGGTTAAATACCCAGCTGTTCCCTGTGCCAGATTTTCTTGGGCCTCAGTCCTCACAGACTCTGGCTCTGCTTGCAAAGTTCTCCACATCCTTGTGCCAACCAACATCTTGGGCCTCTTTCCTCCTGCACTGAATCCCTAAGCCCAGCCTTACCCCTCAAAAAGTCAAGACTGGAGTTTTCCCCATAGCTAATCAACAGTGACATTTTTGAAGCCAAAACTCTAGATACGGTCTGACCAAAAAGATTTGTACTAATTCTGGGTGTGAGAGCCTGCTTGGAAGATGTAACTTAGATGCCAAGACAATAATGTTTTCAAGTTTGGGGGGATAATAGGTCAGAATTGTTGAAACCTGAACCATTGTGGAGTCTACAGAGGGCTGCTGACCCACCACTTCCAGATGTATCCAGAACCATATACACAGACCTGCCAGTACCCAACATGTTTGTCTGCATTGACTGGGATCCCAAGTACAAGGTCTATAGAACATCCAAATTTTATTTCATTGCTTTGACTTTCTTAGGAGACACAAGTTGATATTATAATGAACACAATTTCAGAGGCAAAATCCCTTTGAGAAAAGGAGCCTAAAGAATGAGCTGGTTTTCCTAACAAGGGTCTAATGGAAGATCCATCAAATTGCAATCCAGCTCAGAAGTCTAAAGGATTGACTATAAGATCTGCCCATTACCCTCAGAGAGAAATAAGCATCAGCTGCAGCACATGACAGAGAGATAAACAGGGGCTCCAGTTCATGCGTTTGATTAACATAAAAGGAAACTGAGGGAAAGCTCAGTGTTTCCACCCATGGTAGTCAGAAACCAACTTCACAGCTCTTCATAGAGTCGATAAAACTTCACAACTTTGGATTCTTTAGAAATGGCTTTACTTTATCCCTTCCTCTGCCACCCCCTAAAAATTCCGACATAGTACAAACCTTTCTGATTGCTGTTAATGAAGAGACTTTTTCATCATCCACTCAAGATTTTAATTTCACTGACTGAGCTGCAAACTACTGGTCCATCCCCTACTACGAAAAGCCAATACCTCAGGTCTGCTTTGTTTGGGAGAGCAGGTTAAAGTAAGACTGGCCCTATGATCACCAAGTTCCCCCTTTCTAGCCTGCCTAAGACCTACTTGGATGATACAGCCTATTTACAGCACAATGAGAGATGCTCTTCTTTGAGACTCTTTGTCTGGAACCCATCTTTACAAAGGTTCTTTCTTCTCTGAAAGTCAACAGGGAAATTTCCCTTTTGCGAAAGGAGCTAGACAAATTATCCTTAGCTGTTCTTTTATAATACAGAAAGTCTCCAAATGCATAAACAGAATCCCACCCCACCCGATAAACGGGAATGAAACTACAGGGGTAGGATGTGACATGTTTGGGTGTCCAAACCTCAAGGAAAGAAAACTAAGTTAAATGGACTATGTCTAGCTCCTTATATGAGGCTGAGGTGCTCAAAGACAGGGATCAAATTTTGTTTGCCTCTAACTCCCTGAACAGTATCCCATATACAGGAAATGCTTGCTAAAATATGGAGATGCACACAATTAAATGAAAAAGGAGGCCACAAACCCAGTGGTGCGACAGAAACCAGATTTAGGAGAGGGGAGGAGTATATGTATAGCAAATGAAGTGATTACTTGGAGTAGGATTAGACCCAAGACTTGAGATGTAGCAGAAAGTGATGACACACGTACTCTTCCTCTTACACAATTCCACATCATTTTGTTTTCAACACAGCATAAAAGCATTAAAGGTTCTCCACTGGCTCCCAAATAATCTTGATATTCCTGACTCTGTTCATGGGCAAATAGAGGAATGTCTTGGTCACACCTGAGTGGGAGTTCTAGAGAAAGAGGGAACATTGTTGGTCTGCTGATAGGAAGGTTCAGACAGATTCCTTCTGGTGCAAATCCATACTATAGGCAAAGTGAGGTTGGAGAAGTGATTGTTTCCTAAAGACATACAGAAACCTTCATGAGGGAGAAGACACTATGTTTATAGCTCCAAAAGAATCAGTCTTGTTTGGCATTCTTGAGAATGTTTGCTTCCAGGAGCTGCCTGTAATCCCAGCACTCAGGAAGCTGAGGCAGGAAGATCACTGTGAGTTTGAGACCAGCCTGGGCTACATAGTGAGTTCCAGGTCAGTCTCAACTACATAGTGACGCCCTGTCTCAAAAAAAACAAAAAAACCAAAATAAACAAACAAATAAATAAATAAAAAAGAAAGAAAAAAAAAAAAAAAGAAAATGTTTGCCTCCTCAGTGAGATGCCTATCAGGAATGCAATCTTTACCAAGTGGTGGTTTCATGGAAAGTATAGAGACAATACATTTATTCAAATGTCCTTTTTTTAGGCCAGTGGTCTAGCTCAGTGGCACCGTGCCTGCCTCAAATGTCCTTTTTTTTCCCCTGCAGACTTAAATTATTAGAGATAAGCAGCAGGATACTGTATAGTGACTGACCTCATTCTCATTATTCCACTTGCATGTGACACATGGATTCTCTACAGAAGTGAGGATATACAAATTTCAGGATTTGTTTCCCTAGTTATATTCTCAAGGATGTCCTGAATTAGGTAGATTCATTTAAACCTAGAAGTCTCTTCACTAACGTTGTTAGCTGATATCTTCCTCCGTGAAAAATATTTTAAAACTACTATGAATAGCTGTACCTCTTATAAGCTCTCTAACCTGGATGAGTAAAACTCTATGTCCATCAACCTCAAATCTCCAAGTGACTAGTAGGTAAACCAAGATGCAAAGTGTTTATCACACAAAGCATCACCACATGAAGGTGAGGTAGTCAGTGAGCATTGGTGGCCTAATGCCTGAACTTTCTTGGGTCTAAACTAATCTGCTAGAGACAAACCAGAAATGTGGTTTGGGCTCTGACATGAAACAGACCTATGTTTAAACACAGCTCTATCATTTGCTAGCTAAGGAACCCTGGCAGTTACTTACTCTTTTGGTGCCTCAACTGTTTCTTGTATAAAATGATAAAAATAAGACCTACTACCTTGGAATATCTACAAATTTGATAATATATATTAAAGCTCTCAACACATAAAGTTTCAAAAATGGTAGCTATTATCACAATTTGGTAAGCAAATGAGTTAAGAAGTCAAAGGTATGGGCCGGGGATTTAGTTCAATGGTTCTGCTGCCTGCCTTGTAGGCTCAAGGACCCGAGTTCAATCCCTGGTACCAAAAGAAAAAAAAAAAAAGAGGTCAAAGGTACTAGGCTGTCTATCATGTTGAATCCCACATGGCAGGCTGGGAGTGCAACCCCCCTCAAATATCTCCTCTGACCTTTGGACTAGGTGTCTTGAATACTCACTTTTACTAGCCTGCCCAGACCTAATAGGAAGTCACCACTCCTTTTGAATTTCCATACCTGTCATTCACACCAAGCACCTTAAATTGCCCCCAAAACCACAAAACTCCTTTGTCATGGAAATTACTAGGGCCCTGAGCCTTGGTCAATATGATAACACAATATTATATCAGATTTTTTTTTTCAAAGAGCTACACAATAATTTTCTTACTGAATTAGCACCATCATTCTGCAGATTAGGAAACTGATATAGAAAAAAGTTTGTCTTGGTCATAGTTGAACTTCAAGAGTTAAAAATAAAATGTGAACATTCAAGCTCATCAATTCATAGTTTTCTGTAGTTTGAAGGCATTTTTGCACACTAAATCCAAAAATGTCCAAGGACATTTTCTTTGACTAAACAACTTGCCAAGGGTATATACAAAAGTGTTAACAATGGTTACATCTGGGTGGTACATAACTTACTTCCCTTGTACTTTTTTGTACCAAATTTTCTATACTGAGTTTCTTATGTAGTAAATCAACAATAAATCTTTAAAGACTAATAATAGATATCCTCTGCCCTTAACAAACCAGTTGTTGTCTTCAGGAGCTGGCGCAAACACTTGCCTCCCAGATGTCTGTCTGGGAAAATGAGCAGGGTAGCCCAGCCTGACATTGTGGACAGGTAGCTGGGCAGGGGAAAGGGTAAGCTGTAGAATAGTCTGGGGCTCTAAGAAGTCTACATAGAGGTGACCGAAGCATATCTACATGTTTTTCTCTACAATCTTCAATTTAAACCCAGAATTTCCACTGAAAACAGCAGGCATTTGCTTCTTAGTTGTTCTTTTAGACATTCATTTATTTATTGTACAAAATATTTACAATACCAGCTATAAATGCCAGGCCCTTTCACCTGGCCTGACATGGGCTTGGTCTCTGCCAAATTTCTAGAGCCATGCTGACATTCTTCCTTGGTATCTACTTGAGACCTGGAGAGTAGCTGGTCTCTCATGTATCTAAGCCACAGGGCATAAGTAAAAGAACTAACCAAAATAAGAAATGTGAATAAAAAAATGTCTCCCCAAATAACACATTCTTCTCATCAATATGTTACCCCCGCCCCCGCCACTGGCTAGTACCAAAACAAGATTAGGAAAAAAAAAAAGTAAAAGTACAGGCCAAAAGGAGAAAAGACACTTTAAAGACACTTTGCAACAGAGTTGGGGGGAAGAGTAAACTGGAAGAATAGAAAACCACAATAGTACCAAAGGGTTTTGCCTTTTCTTTTTGCGGTGCTGGGATTGAACCCAGGGCCTCTGCACTGAGCTACATCCCCAGACCCTTTTGGATGATTTTTTATTTTGAGACAGGGTCTCATTAAGTTTCTAAGTTAGCCAGGGAGGGCTCAAACCTGTAATCCTCCTGCCTCAGCTCCCAGAGTGCAGGAATTACCATGCCCAGCTTATCAAAGGGTTTTGTTAAATAGTCCCTGGTACCTACAGACCACCCTACAGATGCAGCTGCCCCAGCTAGGGTGCAGTGAGGCTAAGGATACGCTGAAAAAGTGCTATGACTAGAGCTTAAAATAACATCTAGTCAAGAAAATCAACTCCATCTCTAGCACTGGTCTCTGTAGGGCTGTTTGGGGGAAGGGGTAATGTAGAATCCAAGAGGACCAACTTCCAAAACCAGCAGAACCAGCCCATATGCCCCAGCTAGAAACCCCTATTTGAGCCTGAGAGGTGACAGCATGATGACCAAGCTTTCCCATACACGTCCCATGGGGAAAACATGGACAAGCAGCAGCACCTTGTCCTGGTCCCTGAGGAGAGCAGTGACCATGTGGCATGGAGGATCCTGGGGTGTAGAGGCCCTGATGCTGGATCCAGACCCCAAGGATGAGTGAGGTCAGCATCCATGCCGAGAAAGGACAAATGATGACTGCAAAGAAGTGAGGTCAGGCAGGAACAGTAGCAGCTCAGGAGGGCTTATTCCTCATAATCCCTGTGAACAGGAGGGCTCAGACATGCTTCCAGGAGGCCAAGGCATTGCAACAAGTCCTGTCTTGTCTCATGACTCGGTGTACTTGCTGGTTTTGGCAATAAAGATGGCTTATAATAGTCTCAGAGCTGATTGTCCAATTGGGAATGGTAGCTTGCAGCAGAGCCGTCTCCAAAACAGAAATTTGGGAAGTCAAGTGATATTGAGCTTTAGAACTGTTTTCTTCAAACAATGAAAAAAGATGTTGTTGTCATCTAAGAGATGGCGGCAGCTTCTTCAATCAACACTTAACAGGGGACCTAATATTCAGTAGCTTCCTCCTTCTATGGCTCCCTTTCCTGGTAACTGATGGGAGTTTGGGGAAGTACCTGGGGTGAGTAGGGGTCAACTGTCTAATGTATCTCCTCCATTCTGTCCCCAAGGGGCCTGACCAGGGACCTGTGATCATTTGCCTTGCCTTATTGCTACCAGGGAACACCAAGCAAAGGGATAAGGAATTGCTACCATGCTATTCTTACCATCCCAGTCCTCTGCTGCCAAACTTTTCTCAGAAGAATGCTGAAGACTCCCAGATCTTAAGAGACTGTAATTAGAAGTCAATGGGCAGGCCCTGACACACCTCAGTGCAAAGAATAAACTCAAGGAAAGCATTAGTAGTCTTCAAACCAGCCATGTGTCTGGACAATGCCTCACCCTAAGAAAGAATCATATCCTACACTGTAGGCTACAGCTCAGCTCTCCTTCACATCTTCAATCTCACTGCTTTTCTCATGGGCTCAAATTCAAGAAAAAGCTCAAAAAATTCTTTATGGATTAATGATCACTTCCAGAAATGCCTGCAGGGAAAGTGTTTTTTCCAGTTCAGATAACACACACACACACACACACACACACAAATCCTTTGACTACCAGTCCTCACAAGACATAATGCAGTGCCATGGTCTGTTACATTGTGTGGGAGGACAAAAAGACTGCACTTTCCCTCCGTGCTTGTCCTGGCTGCAATCACCTGTCCAGGAGAGGGACTCATACCCTTCTGGTCAAGCAGTGAGAGCCAAGAGGGTACCTTCTAGGAGCATCTGCACAGAGAGCTGAAGCCAAGGAATGACTTAAAGTTCTCTGTACATGTGCTTCCCAACAGGGCTGAGCCCTGTGTATTTATCCAGTGAGGCAAATTCAGCTACTGAAATCAAAGAACCAAATCAAACAACAGCAGCATTCTCCTCACTGACCAGAGACCTCAGTTTAGGTACCAAAGTGGCCTGTGCTGCATGTCAGCAGAAGGGATGAGGTAAGGACAAGGCCTGTAGGTGACAAAAGAATCCAGACAGAGGGAAGCATGCGGCATCTTCTGGCTGATGGTTATGTGTGTTAGGGCCAATGATCATGTCTGTAACACGCGCAAGAAGCTCCAGAGAGCATGGGCGCCAAGTAGGTAACAGGCGAGTGGTCAGAGCATGCCAAAGCCCTCACAACCCTCGCTGATGGCCAGCTGCAGCATCCTGTGCACCTCTTCATATGAGTCATACGTAGGGAGGCACAGCTGGTTAAAACTGGAATGGTAAGAGGAGAAGTGATTAACTCTACTATCAGAAACACTGGCAACAGCTGGAAGGATTATTTCTCACAACGGCATGCATCAGTCAGATACCCACCACGTGTGTGCAGTAGGCAGCGTGCTATGGGTTGGCGCTGCAATAATCTGAAATGAGGGGCAGAGGGCGGCAAAGCCTCCAGGCGGTAGTTGAGAAGAACCTGTTGTGAACTGAAGTAGCCGAGCCAACTCCTCCTGGGTTAGACTGGAAACCACAGTCCAAAACCACCTCATAACCTGGCAGGGAGAGTACAAGGCTGGAATCACAGATGGTAACAGTCTAGATGGAAGGAATAAGATACCCTTTGCCCAGTTTATAGTTCTATGAGGACAGAGGCAGGAATGGTCAGAGCTGACAACCAAGGAATTTACACTGTCATACAGTCAAGCATAATTGCTGATTGCTTGGTTTTAGTTCTTTGCACTTCCAATTTACCGTTCCTGTGGCAGTTTGTAATAAAGCACTGAGGAACCAGGGCTCCATTCTGCCTGGTCAACCATCTGTTTTTCCCAAATGTATCATTTTTTTCTCCTATCAACATGTCTGCTTTGAGTCCTCTATCTTTCTCTTTCCTTACAAGGCACAAATCCAACTGATGGAAGTTCAGCCAACTTACCTTTTCTCTGAAATGCCATGAACCACCAACAACCACTGCATGGGCTTTAAAGTCAGACACACTGATGTCTCCAGTTCCACACATCAGCAACTGAAGAAAGATGATCCCGTGTTACTAGACCAGTCAGAGAACTGAGATCCACTCTACAGTCAGAATTATCCGTGTTAACACAAAAATACAAAATAAAGATAACACTAGGAAAAAGATAAGGTCACAACGCCAAGACTGTTTTAGGAGAATCAACTGCCACAGGCCAGTGGTTCCTAACCAATGGCAAAATATCCAGTATTTTTAAAAAATACATAGATGTTTGTGGCCCTACTTCACACTTACTGAACTAGAATATTTTGAGATGAGTTATGAGTTTATATAACATGAAAAAGTTTCCTGGGTATTTCTGATGAGCACCCCTAATTAAGGACTATTGCTTTGGATTCTTTTGAAATGAAACAAAGGACAAAAAAAGAAATCAAGTATATACTAATAATCTGCTCTGGACTTAGCCTAGGAATACCAGGGAGAACAGGCAAATCCTTCCTCTTTGAAGAAGACCTTCAGGCCCATTTATGGATTTTTTTATATAGCTTTTTCTTTTTCCCAGGAATTCTCCTTTTGTAACTTGAACTCCTACCTTCCCTTTAGCCATGTATCTACTTGATCAGATAAACTAAAAATTATGCAAAAAAAATGAAAACATTAATTACATCAGAGCCCTAAACATCTTGTTGATGTCCTAATTTGGTTCAGGATCCAGTATGGTACTTGGTAGACTGTGAGTACCCATCCAATAGGTATAAAGAATGATGCCTTCTAATCAAGAAACAAGAAAAGCCCAAATTAAGTCTGAGCCTTAGCTCCTTCCAAAAGAACTTGCTAGGTGAATGCGTAATTATGAGTAGGGTGTAGAACTACTAAGAGACTACAGTATGTCCTTCCTTTCTACTTATTTTTATACATTATTACGTTTACTTCATAATGAAATAAATTATACTAAAAGCTATTTGTCAGCCCTCCAAAACAACAGCAAAAGGTGATGGGATTATTAGAAACTTAGGCTGAGATATACATTTATTTTATTTGGATTTTATATCTGAAGGTACAGAAGGTGATGAAGATTGAAGGCTTTGATACTCATTCTCAAAGACAGTTCATAAGAAAAAGAATTCCACAAGAACACATAAAATAACCCCACCCCCATTTTTAAAGAACTTCCTCCCTATAGGAAACACCTCTCATAAAAGTTATGGAAGGAAAAGAAAAAGCTACGGGAGGGCTGGGGATGCAAGTGCAAAGTCCTGAATTCCATCCTGGTACCAAAAAAAAAAAAAAAGAGCTATGGGAAGTTAAAAGAAATAAATTGCATAGTATCTCTCAGCAGAAAGTAAAAAGAGGCTGATTATTTTGTCCACACTTCATATGGATTTTAATTCAGCTAACTGTAAGAATGATATTTTCCATCTTATGTATCTTTTGCTGTTATAGGATCTGAAATATGAATTTGCTATATGTATATAAAACTGTAAAATACAATCACATCTTTTAGGGCAGGGGATGTAGCTCAGTGGGACCATGCCTGCCTTGTAAGTGCAAGGTCCAGAGTTTAATCCCTGGTACTGCAAAAAAAAAAAAAAAAAAAAAAAAAAAAAAAAGGTTTGTTTGCTCCACTATGATATAGCAGCCTGAGGGCCAAAACTATGTCTTATTCAATGCTACCTTTCTAGTACCTTAAAATACATGGCATACAGAAAGCACTCAATACTTGCACAAATACATCCTAGTATTTCCTTAAATGTAAAATTTTATGAAGACCATTCATGACATCAATATTCTTTACTAGTCAGTAGTAATAACATATTACTTTCTTTTGTTTTGTTTTGTGTGTGTATATGTGTGTGTGTTTTTAAGTTTTTTGAGATAGGATCTTGCTGTGTAGTTCAGGCTGGCCTTGAACTCACTATGTGGCCCAGGCAGGCTGGCCTCAGACTTGCAGCAATCTTCCTGCTTCAGCCTCCCAAGTGCTGGAACTACAGGTGTGCATCCATGCCCAGTATTAGTAGTAATACTTGATGAACAATGAATATTAGTACTTTTCACAAATTACTTGCTGTTTTCTAATTTTTCAATTTCTAATTTTTAAAAAAGCTAAAGGAAGGGTCAAATTAGCCTAAAAGTGAAAAAGTGAACCCAACTCTTCATAAAGAGCTTTCTTGCTGTACCTCCTAACAAAAGGTATAACAAGCTAGTTCCAACATACCTCCAGCTCATTCTCATCAAAAATAGCCAAAAGGTTCTCAGGGACCAATTCATTCAAGCCTGGAACAAAATAGACAAGTTAAAGCTACATTCATACCATGGATATAGCCATTTTAGCTTCAAGGCCAGTAGGAGTCAGGATCCCACCTTTTAAGAAATGTTCCACTTCCTCTTTCACTTGACTGGCCAGCCGGTACTGGGCCAGCAAGTTTAGATAGAAGATTTTATTTGCATTGGTGACTGGGGTTTGAGCTCCACCTGTCATAAGTTCTACAACCTGAAATAGGAGGCAAAGAAAAAGAAGAGATTGTGGTTGAAAGGATGTAAGACAGTATCTGTCTGCTATGTTCCACTAACAGCATAATTACACAGTGTAAGCAATACATGTAGCTTTTTAATATTTTTGCTTTCATTATTATTATTATTATTATTTTGTTTTTGTTTTTTGTTTTTTGAGACAGGGTCTCACTATGTAGTTGAGACTGACCTGGAACTCACTATGTAGCGCAGGCTGGTCTCGAACTCACAGCGATCCTCTTGCCTCAGCCTCCCAAGTGCTGGGATTACAGGAGTGCGCCACCACAATCCGGCTTTGCTTTTATTTTTTGTTACTAAGATTCAAGGTTCCTAGCACTGCTACTATAACCTAGTAGCTACTATTTCTGTGTGTCTGTGTGAGGTTTTCTCTGATCCCATTAAGCAATGATGATGTAACAGGAAGATATTATGGTTCCTTGTTAGCAATACTTTAATGTATCATGCAAAATAAAACTACCTCTGACCTCTTCTCAAAGAAGTCCTTTTATGTCTCAGAAATTCTGAGATGGGTACAGTTTCTTTTATCTCCAAAGTAAATTAATGGAAAGATCATGGCTTTGAGATTCTGGATTCTAATTCTAGCCCTGATGTTAACTTGCTACAGAACTTCAAACACTATTTGGGCCCCCGATTTTCCTGTCTGCAACGAAAGAGCTGAACATGCTATGAGATTCTCAAATAAAATTAGTATCCCCCAATAAACAATTCCTAAGGAGCATTTAAGGAAGTTCTGAAGCACAGTTTAAAATTACTACCCTGGTAAATTTATGTACAGTGACCAGACTTGTCTCCATAGGAAAATAAAAGCCTCTCTTTAGTTTTAAGATCAGACATCAAGGTCCCGGTGACAATATATTGGCTTAATTATGCTTAATGTGACTACTAAATAGTAATAATTTATTTGTTTAGCTGCTAGAGTGCTTATTCACATAAAATAAATATCCAGAATTAGCCATAATAATACAAAAAAGTTCTAATTGTTTTTTGGTAGTACTAGGGACTGAACCCATGGCGTTGTGTATGCTAGTTAAGTGCTCTACCACTGAGCACTTTATTCTACACTTGATCTTAGCCAAAAGGCCAAGAAGTGATTGAGCCCTTTATTCTATATTTTATTTTCCTATCCTATATTTTGACACAGGGTCTGGCTAATTATCCAGTCTAGCCTTGAACTTGTAATCTCCTGTCTCAGCCTCCTAAATAACTGGGATTACAGGTACAAAGATCACACTTGGCTAAATTCTACATTTTAAATCCATTAAGAGTTTCAGCTGTCGAGCTGGGCGTGGTGGCGCACGCCTGTACTCCCAGCACTCGGGAGGCTGAGGCAGGAGGATCGCTGTGAGTTCGAGACCAGCCTGGGCTCCATAGTGAATTCCAGGTCAGTCTCAACTACACAGTGAGACCTGTCTAAAAAACCAAACCAAACCAAACCAAACAAAAACAAAAAATGAGTTTCTGCTGTCAAGTAACATCCTGTTCCTATCATGGTGTCTCTTAATCTTCTACTGAGTAGCTGCTCTTTTACATCAGATCTCAAAGACAGGCTCTGACCCTGTGTATGTGGACAGCAGCATTCCCTATTATCTCCAGAAAGGAAATCTGGTTATTAGTACAGTGGCACCAATAGTTATTCTTTTCAATCATTGCTAATTTGCTTTTAAATACATATTGCTACAGTTTTAGCTTCACTGTTATCATTTGATACTGTTTAACCCCACAATACAAAGAGACAAACATCAGCATCAAAATATTGTTGGCTAGCTCAGTGGTGCCGCCGCCTGCCTCATAAGCACAAGATCCTGAGTTCAATCCCTGTACCTCCCCCCAAAAAAATTGGCCAATGATTTCCTTGTAAAAAGCTAAAAAAACCCGAAAAAAACAATGTGTTAAAACAGAAATCATCTACATTGCCAGTGGTAATTGCTGACACACTGCTATCCTTTCCAAATCTGTTCAAGCAGTGACATTTTCATTATCACTTGGTTCTTTTTCAACTGTAAAGTAAGAATGTGTAGGACAGATGGGTATATATGTCTTTTACTCCACTCAGATGGGCTGAGATCAGGGTTAGGATTGTAGCTCAGATGGGCTGGGGATTTAACTCAGTGGTTCCGCCACCTGCCTTGCAAGCACAATGATCTGAGTTCGATCCCCGGTACCAAAACAAAACAAAACAAAAAAAACAAATTAAAAAAAAGGATTGTAGCTCAGAAAGAACATGTGCTTACCATGTGTGATGTCCTAGGTTCAATCCCTAGCAACCCCTCTCCCCGCCAAAATGGCTGCAATCATAAATAGTGTGGGATGCAATACTCTAAAGATACACTGTCCAACAAGGAAGCCACTAGCCATAGGCAGTTAGTTGCTTAAATTTAAATTAAGATGAAATGAGAAATTCAGTTATCTGGTTGTGTTAACCATATTCTGAGTACAAAATAACACTAATTCAGAACCATCCCATCACTGCAGTAAATTCTAGAGACAGGGCTGCCCTAGAGGGAGCTGGGGAACACAGCCTAGAATTCACACAGGCTTTGGTCCTCTTTCTCACCTTATCCAGTTGACCTGACTTGTTATATTTCTCTTCTGCAAAGACCAGCTCCATCTCACTCATGTCATTGTTGAGGATAAAACAAACTTTAGATTTGTAGAATTCAGGGTCATCTGTTTCAAAGTACTGAGGAGACAGACACAGAGCAGAATATGAATGTTCTTTTGGCTAGAAATGAAATTTGTAGCTGGTTATAATCCATTATCCCTGCAATCTTAAGGAAGATCAGCTCAGCCAGGTGTGGTGGTATATGATTTTTATCCCAGCACTTGGGGCTGAGGCAGGAGGATCTTCATAAATGTGAGGCCAGCCTACATAGTGAGTTCAAGTCCAGAATGAACTACATAGTAAGATCCTGTCTCAAAACACCAAACCAAACCAAACCAAACAACTACAAAAGCCATCAGCTCAGGTGGAGTGATCCCAGTTAACGGCCAGACATTTTCAGTAGAAAATGCACACCTAATAGGTTACCTTGTAATGCATTCGTAGTCCTATGATTTGGGCCAGAAAAGAACGGGTGAAACGAGCTCGGACCAACTGCTTGTAGGCTCCTCCCAGAGAGGTCTCATAAAGACACTTGCCAACCAGCCGCCCTGCAAACTCATATATCTTCAGGCGCAGATGAGCTGGGCGATTAGGGTTGGGATGCACCTGTCAAAGAAAAAAAATGAAAGGCCATGGTCCATTTTTCAAACATAGCTCTGGAAAGACCCTCCCTCCCTGAACTCATGTGCTATATACTTTGCATCTGGAATGTCTCCCAAAGGTCCATGCATTAAAGGACTGGTCCCTAGCCCATGGTATTATATAGAGGAAGTGTAACTTTTAAGAGGGCCTTAAAAGTTGGACCTTGTGCAAGGTATTAGGTCACTGGGTGCAGGCTCCCAAAGAAGACTGTGACTCCACTTTCTTCCTCTCTTTATTTCACATCCTGGCCATGAGATGAGTAATTCGGCCACACATTGATGCTACGATGTGCTGCCTTGCCACAGGACCAAAAGAAAGGGAGCCAATTGGTCATGGACTAAAAGTGCTAAAACTATGAAAATAAACCTCTTTTCTTTATAAGCTAAGTATCTCAAGTATTTTGTCACAGGAGCAGAATATTAACATATTCAAGGAAGCAAGAATTGCCATGAGAATCAAAAAGCCCACCTAAATGACATTAGTCTTTTGGTGATACTCACTGAGTAATGTGAAATGAATGGAGGAGAGGCAACAACAAACTGTTATTAAGCTAAATAATCTTGGAGTAAGTTTGTTGTGCCTAGCTGCATACGAAAGTTAACAGTGAACATAGTGATGCCTTTTCTCTAACCTTGAACTTTTTTGGGGGGGTAACGGGGATCGAACTTGGGACTTTGTTCTTGTGAGGAGGCAGTGGCAACACTGAGCTAAATCCCTGGCCCTAACCTAGAACTTCTCTCAGCCAAAGTCTGCTCCTCTATTCCTGATATCTCCATCTTGCAAAAGATCTGCTACAGTAATCAAATGCCACAGGAATGTTTTGAGAAGTGGCTTAATTATTGTAATTAGTAAAGCAGCCACTGCACTACATTGCTTTTTCATCAAATATTCAACTGTCCTGTATTTTCTTATTTAATAGATAAAATAATGGAGGCAAATAAGATTCAGGCAATCTGTTTAGCTCATTGTAAGCAACAAATTAATAACAGGACATGGATTTTCAGACTTCCAGGTCAGTTTTTAATTTCTTGTGTATTAAGAGTAATATAATCTACATTTACCACCCACCCACGGGACAGTCATAGACTCACTAATGCTTGGTTGTTGTCACTGAATCGGGTGAAGAGCTGATTGGTGGTATCAAATAGTGCTTTGCAGATTAGCTCAAACCATTCCCGGCGAGGCCCTCCCCAGTCCAGAGCTGAAAAGTATAATGAAAATAAACAGTGACTAGGGCCTACCTCTTCTACCATTTTTGTTCCTTTAGCCATCATTTTACTCTTATTACATTTCCTCCATTCTACTACTTTACTGTTTCTCCATTACAGGCATTTAAAAAATTCCACCCCTCTCTGAAGGATTAAAGTTATTATGATCACTACCCTAAAGGAAAAACAAGAGATCAGGGATCTCAGAAAATAGACAGTTCTCCTGGTTGTGTAACGGTTACTTTGCCCTTCTGGTTCAAGCTCTGAGAGCTCTCCCTCTGGCCCCCATGTCTCTACAAGTTCTACCATGCCACCTGGCCAGTAAGAACTCTTTTTTTCCTTTTGATGTATGAAAGTTGAGTTGTTTGGGGAAATGGGAGGGTGAGTGGATTATTTCCCCTCCCCTGTGGAAAGGGAGTAAGACAGAGGATGGAAGTAGACCAAAAAATTAAAGAAAAAAAAGTGAAAATTTCAAAACTGACCTTCCTCATCCTGAAAAACTACTTCAAAGTTCTTGCTCCAATCTGAGATAGAGAAATTCCGAGTAGCCTTCAGAGACTGAAAAGCAGTGAATGGAAGGGAACTGTCAGATCACTGGCTGGCATCCGTTGGATGCTAAAGACAGACACACAAGAACACTGCCACTACTGTCTGCTGAGCTAGCCATTACTACATGAAGGAGATACATTATTCACAGATAAGCTTTAATTATATCCTCTTATACTTAAAATGTAGATATCTCTGAAAGAACTTAAAAGTTTTAAAAAATTTTAATTTGTCTTTATACTATCACTTTATTGGAAAGCTCTTTTTGTCTTTTTTTTTTTAAACAATGCTCATTTTATTAATGAAAACAATTCTTAATGAAAGTAAAAAAATGACTCAAGGCAGCAAACTGTAAGCAAGAGAACCAACGAGTCCTGGTTTTCAGTAAGGTACAGTCTATCCACTGGACATCTTTATGCACAAGGCAAGGTTCAGACAGGGAGCCATGCCACATGGAGAGTATGGCTGAGGAAAGGGGTTTCCAGGCACACCGACCAGAGCCAAACACCACAAACACTTTCTGGACAGAGGCCAGTGTCTGTGCAGTGGAGACAGACTCACATGAGTTGTTCCTTTTCCATCAGACCAGAGTGACAACAAAAATCGCTTCCTTTTATCCAACAAGCACCCTTCTATTCCAGGGAATCAATAGTGGGAACTTTATTCCACAACCACTACTTCTACCTTCCTAAACAGGAGACTTAGTTTAAGCATTAGTTCCCCACAGACCTGAAAGCCAGTATGTTATCCAGTTTCCCCTCAGTAACACATCTCTTAATCTCCTTAGTTCCCCACAGACCTGAAAGCCAGTATGTTATCCAGTTTCCCCTCAGTAACACATCTCTTAACATATCTGCCCCAATGTCAGGACAATGGAGAAAAACAGTCTTTAATGGATTTTAAAGAGTGATATAGGTTTCATAAAAAAGGTAACTTTCAGGATCCAAACAAATACCAAAGAGGTTGGAAAATTTGGCATCTGCTGATAGAGATGAAACTTTACATACCGATTCCAACAAGGCATGTCTGCTGACCTTCAGGGTGACTCTGGAATGTGGTCTTTTCATATGTACCTGCCGAAGCTCTCTCTGGAAAAAGTTCACCTTGTCCTGAAAGGTCTCAGAACCTCCTGAGGAGCAGCAAGATCCATTATGAATACAGCCTTATTAGCAGGTACCTATGAAGTTCCACTTTTACATTCTCATGGACCTAGGGGGTTGGGGTACTGCCTTCCCAATCCAAATCCCTGTCCAACCTTACCAATATTCTTGTGTAGGGAGCGGATGAAAGTGGCCGCAAGAATGTTCCTCTCTTTACAGCTGAGTTCCACAGGAGGTTGAATGCCATCATCTACCACTAGTGTGAGGAGTTTATGAACAGGGTCAGGGCCAAGGTATGAAAACTAGCAAAAAAATAAATAAATAAAAATAAAAAGTTATTTATAAAACCACTGAGCCCAGTAAAAATCTTCCATATTACCACCTTTCTGTCTCAACCAACAAAAACAAGATGGACCTGTTTTCTCTGAGTTACTGCCTACCACAAGTGCATCTCCTTGTTTTTTCACCTCAATGTTCTACAGTTCAAATTTTATTCTAAATTGAGTCTCAGAGAATGCCTTTAAGAAAGGATTACAGGCACTGCTACAGAACTTCTGGCAGAATATGAGTGAAAGTACTATGGATATTTTTTAGAGCAAAATTTACTCCAAACTGGCTGGGAGAAAGTGATTTTTATAAATAGCAGTCAACCATTCATTCATTCATTCATTCATTTATTTATTTATTTATTCGTACCGGGGATTGAACTCGGGTCCTTGTGCTTGCAAGGCGTGCCACCAAACCACTGAGCTAAATCCCCGGCTGAACCTTTTAGATAAAAGTTTAGATTCCCAAATCCCACAAAAGTGAAATAAAAAAACCAAAAAACTCTAAGAAAGAATGAGATTCAGCACACTAGGAGATTAAGTTTGGGCCAGTTACCAATATCCCTCCTATAAACTCAGTCCTGGAAGCCAAAAGGGACTGGTGAAGTACTCTGAGTTGATAATTCCCCTTTCTGTAGGCAAGGTCCTTCTAGGATTTACAGATTCTTTGTGCCATTTAGTGAGGAGATAATGAACTTTTCTTTTTTTTGGAAATGAATTTTGTGTGCACAGGGAAAACTTCCAGAAACACTGAAAACTCTCTGGCAAAAAAAGAAAAGGCTGAAACATTCCAGAGTTGAAGTTTGTTCAGTACAGATCTGATACAATATTAACTTACTTTTGTTCCTGGGCATACTCGGAAGGTGTAAAGGCGCCAGGGAATGATTTTCAAGTAGAATTCCTTCACTGAGAATTGCTGGAAGACCAACATACAGAAAATGAAGTTAGTGGTATATTAAAAGGTCCTATTTGGGTATTATAATTCAAATACAGATCCAGAGTATCTCTGTTTTTCTCATGATAACCTCTTTTCTTCCCTAGACAAAAAGGATCACTGAGGGCCAGAGATTTAGGTCAGTGGTGCCACATTTACCTTGTAAGTGCAAGGATGAGTTCAATCACTGGTACCATTAAAAAAAAAAAAAATAGGGTAATTTAGTGAGCACTAAAATAAATGTCAGTTCTACCTTTAAAAGAGCAAATACACAAAAAATAAAAAATAAAAGAGCAAATACAAAAATATTAATCTGTCACTGCAGTTTCACTGAGACATTTTAAAGTTTTTTTTCGTTGTTTTTTTTCTTTTTTTGAGACAGGGTCTTACTACATAGTTGAGACTAACCTGGAACTCACTATGTAGCCCAGGCTGGTCTCAATCTCACAACGATACACCTGCTCCAGCCTCCCGGGTACTGGGCTTACGGGCATGCACCACTATGCCCGGCTAGACATTTTAAAATCTTAATACTCATGTCTTACTACAATTTCAAAATTCCTGAATTTGTTTTTCACTTTTGTCAGTAGAGAACATTCACCTGCAAACAAGAAAGATCACCTGCAAACAAGAAAGATCTCCTCCTCAGCCTAGTGCTTCTCAGAATGACTTCTTCCAGATCTACAAATGGGGTACCAGCAGTCAATATCCACTGTTTTTTACCTACTTGAATGGCACCAAAGATTTTCCAGAAATAGAGAGACAGGAAGATGTGGGAGTGAGAAGGGTAAAGTGTAGTATGACGGGGGGGGGTGCTCACACAAAAATGTTCACCAAAATATCTCATGTAAAGACAAAGAAAGGCCTATGCTATTTACAAAAGAGGAAAAGAAGATAAAATTCACTAACCTAAAACAAAACAAAAAACTATCATTTGAACATGTGGTGGGTTCCCCCAATATAAGTTTTAACAATGATCAATTCAGAGGCAATCTTGTTTCATTCATTTACCCCACCCATTTCCCTCATTGCCATCCCTCCAAGTTCAAAAAAAGGCTACATTTTTAAAAATGAAGAATCATACACAGCAAAATGTTCTAACAGAATTTGAACTCAGTTTTGGTTATGAGATTAAAAGGATGTTCAACAATTTCATTTTTTATGAGGACTGAATGAATTAAGAAAGTACAAATATTCAAAACAAAGTCTCTAACACAAAGTGCCTCTGAGCTCTGGGGCTTGGGAAGTTCACCTTCTTCTCTCTGCCAAAATTTTTTTATTCCAATCTTGTAGCCTGATAGCAACAACCATTTACAGTGATTTCACAAATCACAGAATAAAAGATCAAATTGTTTCACTATAGAACAAGGGATAAACAGTAAATTTATTTTAGTGAGAACTTTTTAATAGTTAAAAGTAGCTTTCTTTCATTCTTTCTTTTTTTTTTTCCAGTACCAGGGATCAAACTCAGGTTGGATCAAGGGTGCTTGCAAGGCAGGCGTGGCACCACTGAGCTAAATACTCAGCCCTAAAAGCTTTCTTTATAGCTCTGAGAGTCATGCCTTTAAAATCATCCCCAAAGTAATCAAAGGGCAGAATGCACAAGTGCGCTATGGTGCCAAGCAGACAGAACCTACAGACAGAGATTTAGTTTAGTCCAAACCAAACACCTGTAGCAGCAGAGGTGAGACAATCTTCTGCTTCCCATTAAGTAGCTTCTTTGTGTCCTAGAAACACTACAAGTGGACAATTTTGCCTTACTGACACACAGACTATTACTCTGTGGTTTCTGTTACCAAATACTAATTACATGCAAGCTCAGGAAAAGGTATACTAAGGCAAACATGGGGGTTCCAACCTTTGGTGACACATAGCAGTACACCTTTTTCGGTTTCTTCACTTTCTCAGGGGTGTGGCACTCAGAGGGTGAGTCTTCCTCTTCCTCTTCCACAACAGTGGAGGGCCGACGCTGTGAAGAGCTCATGTGCATGGGTGGAAGGTGCCATGGTGTGCTGGTACAGTTGGTAGCATTATAAAGATAAGCCTCAAAGTAAATACTCACTCCTGAAGTGGACACATTGCGTTCAACGATATTTCTCTCATTCTCTGAAGTATAACAGAGAGTAGGGTTTAAGGAAGGAGTCAAAGGAGGAAAAAATTACCTACTGCAAGTTATTTAGACCACCAGACAATAAGCCAAGTATAGCCCAAATATCAAAATATTTATCAGGTGGGTCAGTTGTGCACATATGCAAAGAAAAAGTGACCATGGAAACAGAATTAAATCGCAGTTTTCAACTCACCACTTAGGACAATAATGTCAAATTCTCCATTACTGATCGGCTGATGTTGGTATGAAATGCAGGCGTGAAAGCAACCTCGAGAATGCAGGGTGAGTCGCAAGAACACCTGGCAAGTCTGCTTGTTAGACGTCACTGACTTCTCAAATGAAACTCCAGTACTCTCTTCTTCTTGAGGGCCTAGCTACAGGAAGAAAACAAATCATCATTTAACATATAGAATTTTCCCTATCTGCAAGGCAATTTACTCTTTACAAAGAAATTTTACCTATCATCTATGTCTCACAATTACAAATGAGACAGGTACTGTCAGATACTGTAGCAGGATGCAAAGAGGAGAAAAGAGATAGGAATAAATTAGAAGGGGTAAGAATGACAGGGTGAGCCTGCTGTCCCTAGCATACAAGAGAAAGAAGGGGCGACTTACCTCGTGAATGGACAAACAGTAATTGTGCTCATCTCTCAAGGATGTGGAATTGTTTGTAGGGTTATCATACTCATCTCGGGGCACTATTTGAAGGGTGTGTGGCTGCCCACAGGTCAATACAAGAGTAGAAAAATGGCACACAATTTTGGTCTTGGAAGGAACCACCATTCCTGGAACAAATAATAGAATCAGACATTTAGTGAGATGGAAGAGATGATCTTTGAGATACTTAGATATATGCCTGTAATCCCAGCACACAGGAGGCTGAGGCAGGAGGATAGTTGTGAGTTTGAGACCAGCCTGGGCTACACAGTGAGTTCCAGGTCAGTCTCAACTACATAGTGAGACCCTGTCTCAAAAAAACAAACAGACAAACAAAAAAACCCTAAAAAGATACTTGGATCTACTAAGTAAGTCAGAGCTGGATTCTTTCTCAATTCCCTGGCATTAGTAAAACACTATGAAGAGGAGAGAAGAAAAAAGGAAACAAATGCAGTCAAATGAATTTTGGGGACTCCTTTTTATAAAATCTTAACCACTGCCAGCATTAAACAATAAAAAAAAGTATCTGGAGGAAACAGAAGTGAGAATTCCAGATACAGTGCTAAAGTCCCTCAGGAATCTGCTTGTGAGGTGAATCTTCAAAAATAAATGCTGACCAACAACAAAAACAAAGATTAAAAAAAGCATAAAAGAGGTAAAATCCAACAAAACAGGTACAAAACTTGTATGCTGAAAACTCCAAAATGCTGATTAAAATAAAAACTATCTTAAATGAAAAAATGTACCATGTTTGTGAATTGGAAGCTTCACTATAGAACAAGAGTCAGTTCTCCCCAAATCAATATAGAGGTTTAACATAATTCTTATTAAAATCCCAGCAGATTATTTATAGATTTAGAAGACCCAAAATTTACATGGAAAAGTAGGAACTAGAACAGCTAAAACATTTTTGAAAAGAATATAATGGGAAGAGCCAATTTACCAATTTCAAGACTTACTATATGGTACTGCTTTGGGACAGACAGAGGTCACTGGACCAGAACCCATAACTAGACCACCACAAATTTGCCCAACTAGCTGGGTACAGTAGCACAAGTCTATAATCCCAGCACGCAGGAGACTGAAGCAGGAGGATCACCTTGAGTTTGAGGCCAGCCTATACTACATAGTGAGTTCAAGGCCAGCTTGAACAGCATAGTGAAGCCCTGTCTCGAAAAAGAAAAGAAAAAGAAAAAAAATCCCATCCAATTCAATTTCGACAAAGGGTAAAAGGCACTACAGAGAAGTAAAAAACTTTTCAACAAATGGTGCTGAAACAACTAACATATACAAGCAAAACACACACACACACACACACACACACACACACACACACCGCACACAATCCTACCAATTAAAAAGGGACATGATCTTAAATATAAAATGTAAAAATATAAAAATTTTAGAAAAAAACAGGAGAAAATGTTTAGAGTCTGGGACTAGTCAAAATTCTAAGAACAAAAGCATGACCATAAAAGAAAAAATGGATAAAATGAAACTTTATAAAATTTAAAAACTTGTTCTGTGAAAGATCCTGTTAAGGGGATGGAAAGAAAAGCGGTAGACTTGGAGAAAATACCTACAAACAAAATATTTGATAAATAACTAGTATGCAGAGCAAAGAACTCTCAAAATCCAACAGTGAAAAAAATTAGAAAAGTGGGCAAATGACATGAATAGACATTTCACCAGAGGATACAGAGGGCAAATAAGCATATGAAAAAATACCTTTGGAAAGTACAACTAAAACACACACTTCTCAGAATGGCTAAAATAAAAAGTGACAATATTAAATGCTGGCAAGGATATGAGAAATGGAATCATGCATACATTGCTGGTGGGATGTAAAAACGTCACAGGCATCCCAGAAAATTTGAGTTTGACAATGTTTTTTAAAAACTAAGGATGTGACTACCATAAGAGTAAGACATTTATGCCCTGTTCATGGAATTTTTTTTTTTTTGGTTCCCGGGATCCAACCTAGGACCTTGTGTTTGCAAAGCAGGCATGGTGCCACTGAGCTAAATCCCCAGCCCTATTCATGGATTTTTATTAACAGCTTTATCCATAACAGGTCCAAAGTGGAAATAAACTAGATGTCCTTCAATGAGTGAACAATTAAGAAGACATTCATTAAGTGGAATATTACCAATATGAAGGAACCAACAATAGATACGTATTTTCAACAACATGGATATATGTCTAGACAATTAGTGAAAAAAGTCAATCTCAAAATGTTACATACTATATCATTCTACTTATACAACATTCTTCAAATGACAACAGGTTAATGGGTTGACAGGGGTTAAGAAATAGCCCAATGGGGGAGAGAAAGTAGGAGTGCCTACAAAAAAGGCAACATGTCAAAAACTTGGTTGTGCTATTATACCATATCACTGTAGTAATACAGTTTTGAAAGAGTTATCATGGGGAAAATTAGGTAAGGAGTACACTGGATCTCTTAATTTCTTATACTTGCAAGTGAATATATAATTATCTCAAAATAAGAAGCTGAATTTGTAGGGCTGGGGATTTAGCTCAGTGGTGCTGTGCCTGCCTGGTAAGCACAAAGTCCTGAGATGGATCCCTGGTATGGGGTGGAGGGGTGGGTGTTGAATTTGTTTGTTTTTGTTTTGGAGACAGGGTCTTGCTATGCAGATCAGGCTGGCCTTGAACTCACTATGTAGCCCAGCCTGGTCTTGAACTCACAGCAATCCTCTAGAGTGCTGGGATTACAGGCATGCACCACCATGCCTGGCTAAAAAGTTGAATTTTAAAAAGGGCTAGTCCATATTATAAGGATATAAATTGCTTTGCATTCATGGCAAGGAGGTGAGGTGATACTTAATGTATAAAGGAGCTTCTGAGAGGGGCATTCAAGCAAAGGAGATATGTGGAGAGAGAAATGGCTCAGGAGTTACTTTGTCAGAGTTTTCTTCTGTTATAAAACAAAGAAAACTGAGGACCAGGCAGGCAAAGATACACCAACCAATCTTCCTAAGGCTCCAATCATTAAGATTTGACTCCCAGGGTCAGGGCTTTAGCTGAGCAGCACAGTGCCTGCCTGGCAAGTGCAAAGTTATGAATTTGATCCCTGGTACAAAAAAATAAGTAAAAAATAAAAAGATTTGATTCCCAAAGTTAGTCAAGGATTATTCTGCAAATACCAAAATAGACTGAATCTGACGACACCCTCAAAAGAAAACAAGGGCACAGAAGGCACACAGGACCCCAACACACTAAACACACATGTTACAGAACCAAGAGTCAGAGATTGTACTTTGGAACCTCAATGTCAATGAGCATATGTTATCTGACATAAAAACATGAAGGGTGGAAAAATTAGAGATAAAGATCTTAATTCTTGGATACTAAATGTGCAGGGAGACACTCTTCAGTGACAAGTAAAACACTGGCAACAAGGTAGAATTTGGGTTGAGATACTTTTTACCTGAAAAGATTTCAAAAATAAGAAGAATTTATCTTTTGTGTACTCTGGTGTTCTTAGCCCTCCAGGACTTACCAGACTAAGGACAGCAATTCTACTTCTAGAGAAATAAAAACATATATCCACACAAAAACTTGTAGGCATATGTTGACAGTAGCATCACTTTTGGTAGCCAAGGAGTAGAAATAAGCATGCATGAGGCCCTAGGGGTTGGAGTCCCCAGTAATACATACACATATACACAATACTTTAAAAAAAACACGGAAAAGCTCAGGGATTTAGTTCAGTGGCACCTCTCCTTGCCTCCCTTGCAAGTGCAAGGTCCTGAGTTTTGATCCCCGACAGGGGGTGCAGGGGGCACAAAAACAAATAAAAAGTGGAAACAACCTAAATGTCCATCAACTTCTGAGTGGATAATTAAAATGCAGTGTATCTGTAAACTGAAATACTGTATGGCAATAAGAAGAAATGCAGCCCAAATTCATGCTATAGCACTTTAAAAGCATTGCATTATATAAAACTAGTTGATCATAAAATTTATGATTATATTAATATGAAATGTGCAGAAAAGGCAACTCTTCTGAGGCAGCAAACTTAAGTAGCGTTAGGGGTTTGGTGACAAAAATGACTCTTAATGACTTTGGGTTTTCTTTGTGGGGTAATGAAAATGCTCTAAAATTGACTACACTGATGATTGTCTAACTGTTAAAAACTATTAAACAGTATGCTTTTTTTTTTGGTACTGGGGATCGAACTCGGGTCCTTGCACTTGCAAGGCAGGTGCCAGAACTACTAAGCTAAATCCCTGGCCCTAAAGTGTATGTTTTAAATGGATGAATTTTATGGCATGTGAGTTAAATCTCAAAGGGGAGACTGGGGGTGTAGGTGAGGAGCAAAGTACATGCTTAGTAGGCATGAGGCCTTGGTTCAATCTCATCAAATCCCACCAAAAAGAAATGACAAAAGAAATGGGGGTGGTGGAATGGGAGTAAAGGATGGGTGATGGGGGGTGGGAGGGTGGAGGAGTAGAGAGAACAGGAAAAAAGAAAGAACAATGAACTTACCAGGCTGAAAAATTTTGTAGTAGGGACTATAGGCCACATTTAATCCACCAAGCTTCACTGTAATTTCATAACGTCCAGCCCTACGCACAGTGAAGGCCACCTTTACTACATTAGAATTAGGCTCCTGAAGGACTTCCTGGGTCACTGGAATTTCCATTGCTAGTTCAACATGGGAGATGTGAACTCTCAGTCCCACAGGCCGATGTGCAGGGAAAGGCTGCCCGTTCTTATAGAATAACTATAGGGAGAGAAGAGAGGCAGCCATTAATGAGCAGAGGAGAAAACTTTTCCACACAAGAGTGTGGCGAGAGAGGAGGTACTAGTGGATGAGGTCACACTAGTAAACCCCAATGCCTACCTGGCTCCTTACAGCCCTGTTCACAGAAACAGAGATAAATTCCCCTGGCATACCAAGGAAAACTATTAAGTTATGAACAAATTCTTAATGTGTGGAGAGGACAGGGATGGAATACACTAAATCAATTCCACACCAATTTCAACTTGACAAATTCTGCCTCTTTGGTGTTCTCAGTCCTTGCTATTATACTCAGTCCTTACTATGGCACTGAATGAACAAAGCACTAGGCAAAAGTGGAAGGGTTTAGGCTCTCATGCCAAGCTTGATATGTCACAAAGGAGAAGTCATTTCAACAACCAGCAAAGTTTCTCTGTACATGCTGGACAGCAATTTTTTTGGGCTATGACCATACAGAGGTATGGAAGTGTCCTAACTACTCAAGTGAGAAAGCAACCATAGTCAATACATAATGAACAGGTGTGGCTATGCTGCAGTAACAATGTTATGTAAGAAACAGAAAGAGGGCCCAAATTGGCCCTTGGGCTATTGTTGGCAAAGTCATCTCTTCTAGTATTTTCTTTACTTTGAAAAGGTTAACATTAAGTCTTTTACTTCTCTAATGCTAAGTACCTAGTAAACCAAAAGGCTAGAGAACATCATGACTTTTTAGATATTAACAATTCCCAAGTTCTTAGGAGGGGCTAAAAAACAAAGGAAAATGTTAACATTCCAGTCAGCACCACCAAGACTAAACTGAGCTCTGGAAAGCAAGTGACTCAGAAACCCCAATGGGTATGGAGACAGAAACATTCCCTTACATGCACTCGGAAGGCCATGCTGTGGCCCACCTCATAGGGGTCCTTCCAATCCCAGGAGACTTTGCAGGACCGTGGATCCAGGTAATTTCCCCGCACGTAGTCATAAATAGTTCGATCCCCTCGGCGTTCACGGTCCTCATTCTGAAGGAAGCTGACTACACGTGCGGCAAGCTCAAAGAGAAACTTAATTGTGAAGAAGAATGCAACCACAGACACTGTGACTCCACCTATGTAAATGAGAGAACACACAAACCACCAGGCCAGTTACACATTGCAGTTTTTCAATGCAGAACAGGCCAGCCATCTTGCAAAACTTAAAGGGAGTCAGGATGAGACTTCAAGTTGCCAAAAAACATTGTACTGGGTCACTATGTCTAGGAGAGGAGGACTTCTAGGCCAGGGGTCAGCAAATACAGCCTTCAGGGCAAGTCTTGCCCTACAGCCTTTTCTAAAAATAAAATTATACTGGATCACAGCCCTGCCCTTTTGGGTATAAACTATCTTCAGGTGCTTTAGGATCACACAGGCAGAGCCAAGTAGTTATAAGGAGACTGTATGGCTTCAAAAGTGAAGTATTTACTCTAGCCTTTTACAGAAAAAGCCTGTCAGCCCTCTTCTATAGCACAAACTACCTGTGATGCATACCTGCATAACCTGCCACGTGCTAGGGCTTCACAGAAGCAATGAAAATAATGAGCATTCTATTCCCTCTTTTCAGAAGTCTTTCCCTCCCTTGTCCACTTGGTCTTGCCCAGGTTCCACCAGAGTAAGATCCCCTCTTTCCAGGCTCCCTCAAACTCCTGTGTCTACCATAACTTCTCATTTTTGACCATCTCCTTTTTGCCTTATTCGACTTTGACTCCACTGTAAACAGTGTCTGGCACAGAATGTAATTACTCAATAAATATTTCCCAAATGAATGAATTCCTCCGCCAACTCTGTGAAGGTACATTCTGGCACAAGTGGAAATACTTCTCGCTTTGTTTTCAAGGGGGAAGGATAGGCAGGAACACAAAAAAAAGGAACTAGGCAAACCATAACAAAAAGATAACAGAGAGCTTTTTCTGTAACATACCAATAACGTAAAACATCAGGTCCCTTCAATGCCAACAGACAGCCGAGGATCACAGCTGCAGCTGCAAAAGAAAACTTTATTTTTTTTTCTGCAACTTTTTCCTTAAAGAAGTATCAGAATGAGACAAAGTAAAGCATATGGCTTAAGCTAAACATCTTCAGGCTAAAGCTTTACTATTCCTGTCTTCTATTTCTAGCTTGACAATTGCCCTAATACATATTTCAGAGAAATAAAGAGAGACTACATCATTCCCCCTAAAGACTTCCAGTCTATCAACCAGCCTAGGAACACCACAACTAGCCACGTGCTGCATTGCTAATTACAAAATGCAATAATCCAGCTTTCAAGTTCCTGGGTACTAGGGTCCCAAGACAATTTCCCTCTCCCATGCAAAGTAGATAACACAAACAAAGAGGATAATAGGATCACTTTCCCCTTTTACAGTATTTGCCTTCTGGAGCAATTCAGCTAAACAGGAACAGCTATATGAAATGCACATTTTAAAAAGTAAGTATTATTATTGTCATGTTGGCAAAATGTAATTAAAATGAACTCTGAGTCATGGCAATAATGAGCAGTGGGGATGTAAGAGAAGTCATTTATATCATGAACAACTAGACACTAACAAGCCCTCTTGAGAATACACACAGCAGAAAAGTCAAGGAAAAATAAAAAGTGGAGATGACAGTTCTCACCCTAAGTGATACCTACCACAGAGTTGGGAGTCTGAGGGAAAACTTACACTCTTGTTTAAACTTGCTTCCTGAACAATCAGTCTCTGTTATTCATTGGTTATTTGAACTATCAAAGAAACCACCAAGGGATATACTGCTGACCTTCATATCTCATCACTGAGAATGACGTTATGGGTTGTATATGCTCTCCATTCTACACTGCACTGAACTTTTTTCAAGAAAATATTATATTAAGGTTATCAATGCCCAGCACCTCTGTCAGCACCAGAATATTACTGAGACACAACTTCTAGGCTTAGATCCGGGAGGGACCAACAAAAATTTTTTTTAAATAGTGTGCATTTTTATATATGACTATGCTCAAAAAACCTGAGACAGAAAATGGCCCCTCAGTTCCTTTGATAATAACATACCCACTGGAACCGACAGAGAGTAGGTGTTTCAGGAATAACCAACTCAGATTTCACAGAAATGATTCTTTAGGCAGTATCTAAAGTCCTATAGAAAGAAACATTGGAGTTCTCAACACACGTGAATTGAAGCGTTTGCAAAAGAGTCTATTATAGAAAATATACAGACCCAAATTTTGGGATCAAAACTACTGAGTCTCCTTCCCAAATAGGTATCTTATCTCCTGGAACCCTACGTTAAAAGCTGCTATCATCTCTCAAGAAGCATCTGTCTGCAATTTCCAGGATGTGCTAGATGACTCACTGGGACCAAATTTGGCAGTTTAACTATCTTAGGTACTTCCTCAGCTGGACAGTTTCTAATCTTCCAATGTGAGCTAGATATGAAACTTCTGGTCCTCAGGAAAGTTAAGACATTCAGCAGAAAATGAAGTACATGTGACTGATGGTACAGACTTGACTTGTGGCTGAAAGCCTTTGCTCCATGGAGGAATTAGAACAGTGCCAAATTTATGGCTGAAGTCCCAAGGGCTGGAAAAAAATCCCCACCTACGATCTCTGATAACTTCAAGAACCTTTCTTATGAGAGGCAGCTGACAAGCAGTTAAGGCAGAAGCCTGGGGAGTAGTTCCAGGCAGCAACTGTGTGGCTTATCTAGGCTTTGGAACTTTCATTGCTATAAAAAGAATTAAGATTTAATAATTTCTGTGGTACCATTTCTTTTAGTATGATATAACTTCAATGTAACTCCCCATAGCAATCAAAGCTTTAAAATAAAAAATATAACAAACAGTAAGATACAGAGAATGAGGGCAAAGGCTCTAGGGAAGTGACAGAAAATCTATGGCATACATGCTGAGCCATCCCGGTCCACACGTGAGCCAAGTCGCCCTAGCGTTGCCTCAGCAACCGAGCATCAGATAACAGCACAGAAGGGCTATGCACAAGCTTGGAAAGGAATTGCCACCCCAGGCAATGACTGGAGCTGAGACTCATTGACTCATCAGCTGCAACTTGTCTGAGCTTTTGAATGGCTGGTCAGTATTCAGGTTCAATTGTAGTGTTGACACTTTGTGATACATAAATGGGTTTGGGTTGCAGTTTGGGCTTTTGGTCTCTAAAAGGTTTGCCATCACCACTCTAGGGTTAGATTACTTGGATCCACACCCATACCCTGCCATTCATAACATGATTTTGGATAAGACCTTCAATTTCTCTATAAAGTGCCAGTTTCCCTGTCTGTCAAGTGGGAATAACATTTGCACATAACTCGCATGAGTGAGGTGATACAATGTTAACACGTTAACAGCCTAGAACTGTACCTGGCACACAGTGAGTTCTTAAGGTTTAGTAATTACAGTTATCATTTATAAAGTATTCATATCATTATTCCTTTGCTGTAGAGCCAATAGAAAATAGTTCTTTATGGCCCACACTTTTTTTTTTTTTGGTACCAGGGATCGAACTCAGGACCCTGTGCTTGCCAGGTAAGTGACAGCGCCACTGAGCTAAATCCCTGGCTCTATGGTCCACACTTTTTTCAAAGAGAAATGTACTGAGGACTATAAAAGGCATGGATGGCTTCTCTTACTGTACCAAAAATCTCAGCCTGTGTGGAAGACTTTTATACTATTCTAATTTGATGCCTGTTCCGCCACCTGCCTTGCAAGTGCAAGGACCCAAGTTCGATCCCCGGTACCAAAAAAACACCAGAACAAACTAATTTGATGCCTGAAAACTTTTATAAGAAGTTAAAAATTCATTCTATAGCCATTCATCATGCAACTTCTTAATGTGCCAGGTACTGGGGAAATAGCATAGAAATAGCAGCCCATGTCCCATTCCATTAGCAGTAATTAGCTTTATGAGCTTTACAGTAATGAGCTTTACCTTACTGAGTCCTTAACCATTTCCCCACTCTCTTCACTTATTCCTCAATCAAATCATCACTACTGATTTTTCTAGACCACCTAGATCTATTCCAGTAATTCTACCTTTCTTCACCAATTGTCTTTATGATTTAAAACTTAGCATACCAATTAGTGCTTTTTTTCAAAGGATTCTTGTTTTTTCTTAAAAAACTCTTTATATCTAAGGAGTTAGCTCTGTCAATTCTTCCCTCACTGATGTGACCTTTACAAAAATCCCACTGCTCTACAACAGCTCAAAAACTCAACAATACATACTCACCGTAAGTTTTCCCCAGGGTCACATTCTGAATTTGCCTTTCTTCTAGTTCCTCCTGAATACATCACACAGCCACTTCATTCTTGTCAAATAATTTATTTAGATTTCGTCTCTCTTGTGTAACCATTTTCTGTCCTTACTGATCGAGTTGAGAGTTCTCTTTATCCTTTCTCTCCTGTCACCCTCACTCAACAGTATTCTAATTTCCTACAACTATTATTATTCCTCATTATTCATTCTATGATCTACCTAAATCAGATCCTCCACATTTTTACATATTAGGCCTGAAATGTCCCATCTCTATGCCTTTTCAGAAATCATCTTTTGCCTGGAATATTCTACTCCCCTCAGTCTCTATGGACTATCTCCTGATCCTAAAGTCTAGGGAAAATCCTATTCCATCTTCCTGATCCTCAAATTAGAAATACTTTCCCTCCTCTGAGTTTCCACTCAACTTTGTTTTTATTTAAGTCATTTGTATTTTTTGTCGTGTTTATTTTTCATTTCAAAGTGGTAAATAACAAGAGGCAAAGACTAGCCTTAAAAACTCTCTAATGCATACATTACACCTGCATATCATAAATGAAATAAATATGAGTATCTCTTGAGTGGTCAGGGTCATGTTATGCTCTTGTTTTTACCCAGAATGCTAAGGATCAAGAACTTCCCAGATGAAAATTTCCTTTCAGATATAGTTTGGGGGTTTTGCTTATTTTTGTGGTGCTGGGGTTGAAGCCAGGGCCACATACATTAGGTAAGCATTCTACTCCCAGCCTCAGTTATTGTTTTAAATGACTTTTTTAAGTTAGCAGTATGTTTACTTGAACTAGTATATTCTTGTAAGTTCTTTATACCAAAAATTGCCAATTTAATTCAGTTTAAAAGTATATATGACATGTCTATCAGTGGGGACAGGGGTTATCATGCTTATTTTTCTACAACAGTTTCTATAGCACCCTTAACTTTCTGCTGCATAAAATTATATTGGAACTTTTCCAAATTCTTTTTTTTACGGGGGTATCGGGGATGGAACTCAGGTCCTTGTGCTTGCGGGGCAGGCATCGGAACCACTGAGCTAAATCCCTGGCCCCCAAATTCTAATTGTTTAAGCGTCCACCATACTATTTCATATAATTTATTATATATGTATATGTATTTATATATACTTGTTCTTGCCCTTATACAATTTAGCAAATTGTCATACTCTAAGGCTCTAAAGTAGCAATAGCAGTAATAAATTACCCTCTATCCTCTATGAGAGAAACACTTATCATAGGTTAAACACTTTGTTAAGAACTTTCCATGTTAGTTTAAGTAGTATAATTATTATCAAAACAATTTGGCAAGACAAGCATTATTCTCATTTTACATATTTAAAGAAAAAAAAAGGACTGGACTTAGAACTAAGTTAGTAAATATCTCCTAGCTGGTTAAATGACAGAGATGAGACTCAATCCTATTTCTAACTCTGAAGCCCAAAGCTCTTAACCTCACCACTACACTGACTCATGAAAATGAATGAAGCCACTGGGAAGCCAAGTACTTGGGAAGAGAAAGGATTGAAGAAAACAGATAAAGTATAAAGAAATTATATAATCTAACTATAAGAAATCTTAACAGTGAAGCTAAAATTAGAAAGATAAGCTTTTATGGCTCTTTTGTTATCTCTTGAACTAAAAATAAAGCATGACAATGAAAAGTGGAATGCAGTATCTAGTGCACCAATCTAACTATAAGAAATCTTAACAGTGAAGCTAAAATTAGAAAGATAAGCTTTTATGGCTTTTTGTTATCTCTTGAACTAAAAATAAAGCATGACAATGAAAAGTGGAATGCAGTATCTAGTGCACTTGCTCACTAAGATATTGGGCAAGTTGCTTAATACCAGCACTTTGGCTCACATTACCTGCAAAAGGGGGAAATATGTGAAAATAACTTGTCATAAGGGAATACTAAAGTTGATTAATGTACATATTCTAAATCTTTTGCGCTCTGGAGTACAAAGTTTATAATTAAATATCAAATAAAATTTAGTTCTAACACTGAAAATAAGTTGTAAAAAAATCATTTCCCAGAAGTGTAGAATTGGTTTCTTCATGTTCAAACTTACCCTGCCAAGAATAAAATCAACTCTCACTGCAACTCTATTTCTTTTCTTTTTTTTGAGATGGGGGCTTGCTATGTAGTTCAGGCTGGTCTTGAACTTACTATGTGCAGCTCAGGCTGGTCTCAAACTTGTTGCAATCTTCCTGCCTCTGCCTCCCAAATACTTCCATTATAGGCGTGCATCACCATACACAGTACAACCCATGTTTCAACAGCTATCTTCTGCTGAGGAGGCTTAGGAACTGGGTATACTCTGTGGATCCATGTTCAACACCCGAAAAACTGATTTTTAACACAGCTTCTTACCTTACCTTTAAACGAGGGCCCATGTTTTGAGAACCAAGTTGTTCACCAAAGCAGGTAACTTTTGGCTCCTTTCACTTTGTCTTCCAACTTCCATATGAAGAGGAAGGACACAAAGTCTCCAAAAAAGGTCTGTCCATCAGACCTTTACTGAGGATGTGTCACAGTAAGCAGAGGATCAGTGTTTCTGAAATGAACTGCATGAATTCTGAGGTGACGAAATCCAGCCCAGGAACATGTCATTCCCAGACTACTCTAGTGCAGGGTGCGATTCACTGTTGAAGGCATCATTTCTTCTGGTGTCCCAGCATCCTATTCTAAAAAGACAATAGGGTAAGCATAATAGGTTTTTATTCCTGAAAGAGTTCCCCAGAAAATAACAAAAAGGAAGTAGAACAGGCAGTAGGCCTGCTACACTAAAAGAAACCAAGTTCGGAAACTCTATGACCAAGCATTCCCCACCAAAACGCCACGATTTCCCTAACGTCACACCAACTCCACAAGAGTGCAATGGCAACCTCACTCCCCTAACTATGTCACTCCTCAGAAGGAAGCTCTAGCATTTCAGGTATCTCTAGATCTTAGGGAGATTCAAGCCAGGGCACAGTGTTTGTTAGAGACCAGTTTCAGTTTAATGGGGCTGGACCACAGGGCCTAGGAACCACATGAAGAGAAATCAGACAAAGGCTCAGGCACCACCAGATTTCAGAGAGCTACACATGCCATGAAAAGAACTTAAGATAATATTCAGCTAGAAAAAAAAGATAAGACACCGAAAAGCTTTAAAATCTATCTATCAAAGAAAGCCAAGTGTGGTGGCATACGCTTGTAATCCAAGCACTTGGAGGCTGAGGCAGGAAGATTGCCTGGGAGTTTCAGGCCAGCCTGAACTACATAGTGACACCCTGTGTCAAAAGACCAAAAATCAATCGATCAATCAATCAATCCTATCTATCAGTCTGTGCAGTCTGCTCCCTTTGTGCCTATGTATGCATTTCTAAAATATGGTTAAACCACATTGTTTCTCTGATGTGAGAAACTGAAAATGGAAATAAGGACTAAAATATATAATAGATACTGGGAAATGGGAAGAAAAGGAGGGAGAGAGAAAGGAAGGAAGGGACAAGGAAAAAAGTGAAAACAGAAGGAAAAAAATGGAAACAAAGCTTACGTACATAGGAAGCAAAGGGAGCTTGTGGGGAGGGGGGAATGGGAAGGAAGAGGCAGGACGTATCATGTCCAGATGCAAATTCCCTATGATGCATGTTATAATTGTGTATGACTAAAATATACCAATAAATGTTTGCTATTTAAGAAATAAAATTAATTTTAAAAATAAATTATGGTAGCCAGGCATGGTGGTGCATGCCTGTAATCCCAGCACTCTGGAGGCTGAGGCAGGAGGATCGCTGTGAGTTCGAGACCAGTCTGGGCTACATAGTGAGTTCAAGGTCAGTCTCAACTATATAGTGAGATCCTGTCTCAAAAAACCCAAAACAAACCAACAAACAAATAAATAAATAAAATATGGTGAGGGCTGGAATTTAGCTCAGTGTGGCCATGGCTGCCTCACAAGTGCAAAGTTCGATTCCCATACCAGAAGAACAAATAAAATTTAAAAATAATAAAATATAACAAAACATGGTTCAACAAGGCTGATGCTATCTTTAAGACAGTAAAACCTGCTTTTACAAGTGGAGGGGAGGAATCTGCGAGTTTTCAAACTAAAAGTCACCAAGTCTTATCAAGTCAGTTTGTAACTCTCAAAGATATTCATGAACCAAATGTAGCAGAAAGGGTGGTTATGGCAATGCATACACAAAAAGCCACCATAAAACAAACGTGAATTCAGTAAATGGTAAGATGCAGTCTTACCACAAGGCCAGGACTGTTCTAAGTGCTTCATGACTCATAACCCTAACAGAGATAAAAATTATCCTTACATCACAGAGTAGGACATAAAAAGTATAAGGTACTCTTTCAAGGTTATATACAAAAAGGATTAGAATTGAGCCAAAACCAGACAGCCTGAATCAGAGTTCATGTTTTTAGTGACTACTTCCTCTCTGCTATAGGAAAACAAGGAAGAAAACATGAAATGCTTCCAAGAACAGAAAATAATGAGTGAAAGCCAGCAGATCAAGTAAATCAGCAAACTTTTAAAATTAAAAATAAGTATACGTATGTATTTTAATACACAGTGACAGACTTGCCAAGTACATGAGCCAAAACCCGAGTCAACTAGCAACTGGAACCAGTTTAAAGGATCCACAAACTAGAGAACAGTTAGGTAAACTATAAGAGATGCCTACGATAGAATGTCACTTAAGGATTTTTAAATGACACTTTTACAGAACAAACACACAGGGAAATGCTTACAAATAAAATGATAAATGAAAAAAATAGAAATAAAGTTGTTTAGTATATGTCCAATTTTAGAAACATTATGAAAACTGAAAAGCCAATGTGGTGGCGCATGCCTGAAATCTCAGCACACCGATGCTACAACTGGATGATCCCAAGTTTGAGTCCAGCCTGAGCAACTTTGCAAAACCCGGTCTCAATATAAAAAATAAAAAAGGGTCAGGAATGTAGCTCAGTGCAGAGGCCCTAGGTTCAATTCCTAGAACCACAACTACCACCACCACAAAAAATGAATAAAAATTAAAAAGACAAGGTAAAAAAGCATAAAAATGTTAATAGTAGTCATCTCTGCATAATGAATTATAAATACTTTTTATAGGAACGGGATGTAGCTCAGCAAAGCTGCATCTGCCTGGCAAGTGCAGTTTTTGAGTTCGATCCCAGTACCAGAAGAAAAAATAATTATGCTTTCTATATATTCTACCTCAGTGTTTTCCAAATTCTTTTTTTTTTTTTTTGTACCAGGAATCGAACTTGGGTCCTTGCACTTGTGAGGCAAGCAGCAGGACCACTGAGCTAAATCCCTGGCTCCAAATTCTTAATGCAAGAACAGGTAAAAAGTTTATAGAATTTTTAAGGACCTATTCTCCTCATAGACTTTCAGCAAGTTATTTTTTTCCCAAATAAATGATACAAAGACCTAAGATAAAAAAATATACTTAACTTTTATTTCTATTCATTAGAATTTTAGTGGGTCTTGGGCTAGGGATTTAGCTCAGCAGTTCTGCCGCCTGCCTTGCAAGTACAAGGACCCGAGTTTGATCCCTGGTACCAAAAAAAAAAAAAAAAAAAA